CCCCAAAACCCCAAAACCCCAAAACCCCATGCAGCTAAAAATTAAAATAATCAAGACAAAATAAATATTTCAACTAATTTTGATTTTGTTTGCTCAAAGTATTAATATTTTTAAATAATGCTTTACGATTAAATAATGTCTCGAATTAGCTAATTTAGGAGAAAATTACCTAAATTTATTAACTTTTTAGAAAAAGACCTCCAAGGTATACTGTTCTTGAATTTCAAAGATTTGAGAATCGAACATGACTACTAAAAATTTAAAACTCAAGAAATTATTAGCAATACTCTAAAATATTGGACCTTTTTGATTATAGGGGTAGCGATTCTATTCATATTTTAGAGAGATTTACCAGCATTGATATTTTTAATAGCTGGGTCATTTACATTACGACTATTCAGCCACTACAACTATCTCACATTATATCTCGAAATTATTCAATAAATAATGGGTACTTCTTGCTACATTATGGATCATAAATTATACAAATCTGATTCATATCAAACATCAATGAGGTGCTATTTATATATTGCAGGGTTATTTTCGTGTTCAACAATCGCATCAAAATCTTGGATTTAATCAACAATTTGCTTTTTAATTACGATGATAAATTTGACTATCAATTTATGGAGATACTTCGATAACCTACCAAGTGACTTTTATTCTACGATGGTTGCAATTTCAATAATTTTTTCGATTACTGTCTATATATAAGAGCTTAATTCTAGGAAGCTATTTATGATGTTTAGAGAAAAACAAGAAATGGAAGAAAAATCTGCCACTATTCTCAAGTTGTTTCCTGAGTCACTATCAATAGTTAACTTGAAAGAAAGAGAATTCGTCTACTATAATGAACCATTCTCCCACTTTTACTAAAATACACTCACAGAAAAATCTTAAGTCATCAATGATTTTGAAAGTAATTTCGAGCCTGTTAAAGATTCTATTTCAATTAAGATCTATAATCATGGTATCAATAATAGTAAAAGAACATAACTACTAGAAGGATAAAATATCTGGGGGGTCCTTAGCTACCTAAAGACTAGATGTTGCACAGGAAGCACTCATATAAGGCTATTGACTAAAGATCCGAACATAAAACAATCAAAAGTTTACTTTGATGTACAATAAAAACCATTATTTGAGGGGTCTGATACTTATATGTTTGTGTTCAAAAATATTACTATATTAAAAGAGCTTGAATAAAATAGACAATCAGAAAAAATATCTAAAATGGCTTATTACTAAGTAACTCATGAATTACTAACTCCTATAAATTCAATATTATCGATGCTAGAGATTCTAAGAAATTCAAATTTAGATGAAGAAAATTATAAATTTATTTAAGTATCTTACTATGCAACTCATTAAATGTTACGAACCATAAATGAATACTAAGGCTTATAGCAATGCCAAGATGGTAAGGTAAAATAGATTAATAGTAGGTTTGACATTTTAAAGATTTTGAATGAAATATCAGAATTTAATTAATTTGAAGCTAAATAAAAAGGACTTAACTTCCTATTAGATACCAAAGGTTTAATTCATTAATTTGAGAATCCAAGTTAATATTTTATTTAAAATGATGAGGAAAAAATAAAATAAATTCTACAAGTTCTAATATCAAACTCACTAAAATATACAACTCATGGAAGAATTATAATGAGAGCATCTCAATTATCCTTAGAATAGCCTAATATGATTAAAATTGATATAGAAGATACTGGTCCAGGTATTGATAAAGAAATGCAATCCAAATTGTTCAAGCTTTTTGGAAATATGAGATTTAAGTCACAAATTAATTAGTATGGAGCTGGCATTGGACTTACTTTCAACAAGAAGTTATGCCAAATTATTGGAGCATAAATAGGTTTCAAAACTATGATAGGAATAGGAACTACCTTTACAGTTGTTTTCAACATTGATTAATAACTTACAACACAATCTCAGCTTTTATAAGGTTCAAATGTTGAACAAAATTTGTAATCAACAAACTAAAGTAGGCTTTCAAAAATATCTGCTAATCAAAATAGATCAAGAAATGACAACTCGATCAATGCATAATTAGAGGAGAAAAAATGCCAGCCAAATGGTAATATAAGTAATATGAGTCAATGATCTTTGACATTTAGGGGGAAAAATAACCATAAGACTTAAATAACCAGACGGTAATCAAGTCTAGACTACTCAGTAGACCTAAATATTTCAAGTGATGAAGCATTTTAAAGTGATAGATTGAATAGCTATGTATTCGATCAATCTCATTTCTTTAAAAGTCTTGTGGTTAATAAACCAAATTATCCACCACTAATCTTAGGCGATATCGAGGAAGAAAAAGCTCAAGGGAGCAGTAGTCATTTCTAAACAGTAGACGATATTTAATTTTCAAGATCATTAATTAATAACATAAAAATTGAACAAGAAAAGAAAAAGATACTTCCACCTATTTTGATAGTTGATGACGCTAATTTTAATGTTTACTCTCTCAAAATGATTCTTAAGACTATGTTTGGATTAGAATCTGATTTTTCATATTCAGGAAAAGATGCTATTCAAATGATAAAATAAAGACATTTAGATACTATCATTTATCCTAAATCTGAGTAGTATCGATTGATTTTCATGGATTTAAATATGCCTGATATGAATGGCCAAGAGACAACCTAAAAATTAAAGGAAATGGATGAAGATGGAGAAATAAATCTATTCTATACAAAATTTATCCTCTACTCTTGCTTGTCGAATACCAGCGATCTCCCTTTGCTGAGTGCATAATTTGATGATGTCGCTAGCAAACCTATATAAATCGATAATCTAAGAATCCTATTATAAAAGCATGGTCTTATAGATTGATTTACGGGGTAATAGTCTGGTTAAATTTGATATCATATCTCACTAATTTGTAAAGATTTTTCATTTACTTCTATTCTGAAATAAATAATTCACCGAGGATGTATTTAACTAAAACTTGTTATCAAGATATCAATGTATCTTTCTGGTTTTAGAAAGTACTGATCCTGTTAATAAAGATAGGATTTTTAAAGATAAAGAGTATATACTTTAACAGTAAGGTATTTTTAACATTATAATATAGAATACTCAACGATGATTCATACTATATTTTACACAATAAAATACTTTACTGTTAAAAGATTATTCAGTGAGAAATCTGTTGGTCAATTAAAATTTTAAAAGTGTGAAAACTTTACAAATTTATGATAGCCAGGTATATATAAGCTTATTAATTATTAAAAGAATTTAAATTAAATGATACTCTTAATTTATTAAAAAATAATTATTCATTAATTTTTACTAAGTAAGAGTTGGCAGATTTTTTCCTTATATACTCCATTATCACTGATCATCTTCATCATCTCTTTCATGGATGACAAGATTTTTATCAAAAGAATTCTCAATTTTCTGATTCTTTTGGAAATCTTCTATTGCGTCTGGTAATTGTAATTCAAGCCACTTGCCCATTTCACCTCCTATTAATTCAACGTGCTTTGATCTGTAGAACCTTTGATTTTCTGCTTCAATAAACCTCCTCAAGGGGCTATTTTTATAATTGTAGTCTTGTTTAAACTCAATGCCGTGCATGAAATAATAAACCTTTTGAAGATATATGTAGATAATACCTAACAGAATCAAGTTAAATAATGCGAGTTAAAGTATCAGCAAAGCAACATAAGCATAAATTATGCAGACTAAGAAAGTCATAGATCTCAGGCCAAATCTTCTTATGAATGGAGAATTTCTGTCGAAGGGTCTCAGATTTGGATTTGCTTCTATTTATCTAGTTGTGTTTTGGAAATCATCATATGAAATCTGATAGTCCTCCAGAACTGTCTAATCTTTTTAACTCATTTCATATCTCTTCAGATGCTCGTTATACTCAACGATTAGCTTGATTCGAGATGAAAATGGCTTATATTGATCCTCCTTTGGTTGGATGAAATCATCAAGATTTGTGTTTGGTGGCAAGTCAGCTAAGGTTGCTATCTATCTTTTCTCTGTTTAGTTGAAAGCAGTTAAATCTTAATCCTCATCTTCATTGATTTAGAAAGATGCCTGACTTTTTTCATCTTGGCCATTATTATGATGCATCCTATTTTCATCAATTAGTTTTTATTACAATTCAGCCATTCTATCGTCTTAATCCATTTTTGCAGATATACAAATTGATTCTCTTTACTATAATAATTATTATCATTATATTTATATTCAATTTCCCTTTTTGCACTCTTCTCGCCTATATCAATCAACGTGGGGTTTTGGGGTTTTGGGGTTTTGGGG